GGTACGGGAAGCTCCGACCCTACGAGATTTAACGGGAGGGGTCGGGCATGCGCGGGGCGCGCCCCCGGGAGCCGCCCCCGGGAGGGGCCGTGATTGCAGCACCTGCGATGGGAGAGGGGGTGAAGGGGGGTAGGGTGGAGTGTAGCGTATGGGGGGCACGGATGTAGGGTCCATGAGATGGGGTGGTGCTGTATGGGGGTCGGGGTGCATGGGTTTGGGGAGCACGGTGTGTTGGGGTGCATGGGAAGTGGGGCGTGCTGTGTATGGGGGTCGAGGTGCAGGGATATGGGGAGCACGGTGTGTTGGGGTGCATGGGAAGTATGGTCCCCATTGGTGCGTAGGGTTGGGGTGCATGGATTTGGGAAGCACGGTGTATTGGGGTGCATGGGATGTAGGGTGCATGGCGTTGGGGTGTGCTGTGTATGGGTTGCACAGATGTGTGGTGTATGGGTATGGGGTACATGAGGTATTGGGGTGCATTGGAAGTAGGGTGCATGGGGTTGGGATGTGCTGTGTATGGGGGTCGAGGAGCCTGGGTTTGGGGTGCACGGTGTATTGGGGTGCATGGGGATGGGTTGCATGATGTATCAGGGAGCACTGGGTTGGGGTGCGAGGTGTATTGGGGTGCACAGGGATGCAAGGTGCATGGATTTGGGGTCTGCTGTGTACTGGGGTGCACTGGAATCAAGATGCATGGGTTTGGGGTCTGCTGTGTATTTGGGTGCACAGATGTAGGATCCATGAGATGGGGTGGTGCTGTATTTGGAGGTCGAGGTGCATGGGTTTGGGGTGCATGTTGTGTTGGGGTGCATAGGGTTGGGGTACCCTGTGTATGAGAGTCAAGGTGCATGGGTTTGGGGAGCATGGTGTATTGGGGTGCATGGAAAGTAGGGTTGGGGTGTGCTGTGTATGGGGGTCGAGGTGCATGGGGTTGGGAGCACAGTGTATTGGGGTGCATGGGGTTGGGGTGTGCTGCATATGGGGGTTGAGGTGCATAGGGGCTTGGGGAGCATGGTGTGTTGAGGTGCATGGGATGTAGGGTGCTGGGGTATCCTGTGTATTGGGGTGCACAGATGTGTAGTGCATAGAAATGGGGTACCCGGTATAGGGGTGCATTAGAAGTAGGGTGCATGGGGTTGGGATGTGTATGGGGGGTCGAGGCGCCTGGGTTTGGGGTGCATGGTGTATTGGGGTGCATGGGGATGGGCTGCGTGATGTATCAGGGAGCACTGGGTTGGGGTGTGAGGTGTACTGGGGTGCACAGGGATGCAAGGTGCATGGGTTTGGGGTCTGCTGTGTATTGGGGTGCACAGATGTAGGATCCATGAGATGGGGTGGTGCTGTACTTGGAGGTTGGGTTGCATGGGTTTGGGGAGCATGGTGTATTGGAGTGCATGGAAAGTAGGGTTGGGGTGTGCTGTGTATGGGGGTCGAGGTGCATGGGGTTGGGAGCACAGTGTATTGGGGTGCATGGGGTTGGGGTGTGCTGCATATGGAGGTTGAGGTGCATGGGGGGTTTGGGGAGCATGGTGTGTTGGGGTGCATGGGATGTAGGGTGCATGGGGTATCCTGTGTATTGGGGTGCACAGATGTGTGGTGCATAGAAATGGGGTACCTGGTATTGGGATGCATTGGAAGTAGGGTGCATGGGGTTGGGATGTGCTGTGTATGGGAATCGAGGCGCCTGGGTTTGGGGTGCACGGTGTATTGGGGTGCATGGGGATGGGCTGCATGATGTATCAGGGAGCACTGGGTTGGGGTGTGAGGTGTATTGGGTGCACGGGGATGTGAGGTGCATGGGTTTGGGGTCTGCTGTGTATTGGGGTGCTCTGGAAGCAAGGTGCATGGGTTTGGGGAGCATGGTGTATTGGAGTGCATGGAAAGTAGGGTTGGGGTGTGCTGTGTATGGGGGTCGAGGTGCATGGGGATTTGAGGAGCATGGTGTGTTGGGGTGCATGGGATGTAGGGTGCACGGGGTTGGGGTGTGCTGTGTATGGGTTGCACAGATGTGTGGTGTATGGGAATGGGGTACCCGGTATTGGGGTGCACTGGAAGTAGGGTGCATGGGGTTGGGATGTGCTGTGTATGGGAATCGAGGCGCCTGGGTTTGGGGTGCACGGTGTATTGGGGTGCATGGGGATGGGGCTGCAGGATGTATCAGGGAGCACTGGGTTGGGGTGTGAGGTGTATTGGGGTGCACAGGGATGCAACGTGCATGGATTTGGGGTCTGCTGTGTATTGGGGTGCACTGGAATCAAGGTGCATGGGTTGGGGGTCTGCTGTGTATTGGGTTGCACAGATGTGGGATCCATGAGATGGGGTGGTGCTGTATTTGGAGGTCGAGGTGCATGGGTTTGGGGTGCACAGTGTGTTGGGGTGCATGGAAAGTAGGGTTGGGGTGTGCTGTGTATGGGGGTC